AGAACCCTGCCGTATCATCTGACTGCCATGCCAGCCACCTTCCTCCTTCCCTCAAAGCACTGAATCAAATTTCCAGTGGTGGAAGTGTATAGTAAATACCCTTAGCACTGCACCTGTTATGGATGTAGGTAGGCGGTGGAATGGCCACAGTCCCCTCCTGTGACGGAGAACAACCTCACATGCAGAAAAGAAATTCTAGACAGAACTTGGGAATGCTGCGGGTCTTTGCTAGAGCCCAGGAAAGTTACATTTCTAAGTCTCCCAGCAAGCATGAGCAGTGGCAATGCTAGCTGGCAGACTCTGAAGACTGCGGTCCAAAAATGTAACTTTTCCAAGCTTGGGGAGAGTCCCTAACCTTGCCCTAAAGAGTGAAGCGATGCAATCCTTGCCCCTCCGAACCATAATTCAAAGTTGATTCATGAAAACATTCAAGGTTTATTAGCCTAAAACCACCTGTAATCCTTCCTAAATGTGGGCAAGGCAGAGAGACAAGACGCATAATGAGTGATTACACTGGGCACAATAAATCTTTGGGTATACACAGGATTATGCATATCAACATGCCATGCAAAGCAACAGTCCCAACCTGGCTTCTCGCAATTTCTCCAGGGAAACAAGGAAAACCTGCTTTGCATGCTAACCTCTCTCTCCCCCTTCCACACAGCCATCTGCTCAGAGTTTGGATAACCAAGGCTTTCAGGCTCATCTTAAAACTTCTGCCTCCCATCCAGAACAGATGAGAAGAGTCTTGGGTTACATGTCGTGTCCGCCCTATGGTGTTGGTTTATTGCCTAACGCCTGGATTTTGCCACCTTGAGATTTAGAGATGCCTGTTACAAAGGAGGGTTTTAGGATGGGTTCTTGGATTTGTTTGGTATGTTTATTGTCCATTTATGTAATGTTGCCACTAGATGCACATGGTATAAATTCAATCAAATCAATCAATCACCTTGCTTCCCTGTAACAAAGATGGGTAAGGAGCTTGGGCTGGCTGTAAGAGGAAATGGCTTCAGACACCAGCATTGCTTTCAATGGCAGCAGCCCATAGACTGCTAATTTAGTAGTCTAAATTAAATTATTTTTAGACCAAGAGGTTGTAGGGTGGGAAGGGAATCCTCCAGCCTATAAGCAAGATGCAGCCCATGGAACGTTCCCATGGGGCTCACTTTCTTCTCCCCCATTGCCTTCTTGATTTTAGGATGGATGAACAGACGCAGAGTCTGGACACTGCACTTTAAGAAGGATGCCAGCAAACTGGAAGAATTTCAGAGGAAGGCAAAAGGGATGATCAGGGGATTGGAAACCAAGCCCTAGGAGAAAAGACTGAAAGAATTGGGCCTGCTTAGCCTTGAGAAAAAAAGACGGAGGGGAGATAGGATAGCACCAAGGTTCTTTCTAAGGTGCGTGCCTGCACGCAAGTGCCTCCGCCTCCCTCCGCATAGCGATAATTCTCAACCCCTTTGGTTCGGGTCATGAAGGAACCCTCTGTGTGTGTGTGTGGGAGTCATGCACACGCGCAAGGGTGAAGTTGCACGTGAAAAAGCAGAGACCTGCCCAGTGGGGCAAAATGAGAGAGTACATATGATAGCACTTTTCAAGTACTTGGACACACAATGATGAGCTCAAGTTACTCAAAGCCAGATTTTAGCTGAATATCAGGAAACAACTTCTCAGTTGTTAGAGCAATACAACAATGGAACCAATGATCGTGGGAGGTGGTGAACACTCCAACGCGGGAGGCATTCAAGGGAAAATGGGACAACCCTCTGTCAGATCTGCTTTGGTCTGGATCCCTGCATCGAGCAGGGGGTTGGACTCGATGGCCTTACAGTCGGCCCTTCCAGCTCCGTCATTCTCGGATTCTAGGATTCTGCACAATCTCTCCCTTCACATCCTCTGCCTGCCGTTCCTATCTCAGGTCCTACTTTGGGGTATAGAGATGTCAGGATGAAAGGGCTAATTCTGGAGAACACAGACGGAAAAAGGAGGAAGAGCTTAAGCTATAAGCAGGCCTTGTGTTCTTTAGGGGCAAAGATTTAACTACCTGGAATGCAAGACACAGCCAGAAAACAACAAGAACCCTCTCCACCACCATATCTATAAGGCCTTTCAGTATTACAAAGTCTCTTCAAAATTCCTCTTAAGCTTCATTCCCATTTCCTCCTGTCCATTTTCTCTCAGGCAGTGCAGTCCCTTTCTCCCTTACCCCAGTCTCTCTTAACTCTTTGTCTCCTTCACTTTGGGGTCTCTTTCTAAGCCTTAAGTAGCCTTTCTGTGACATCTCTTTCCTAGCCAAATTGACAATCTTCATTTTCCTTGATTGGCAAATGCCCTTGTCTCCCCCACAACAAAACATTTGAAGCCACCCTGTCTAGTTGGCCAAACAGAATCTGAGGTGCTAGCACCTCATGGACAAGATGGTTCAGAGATCTGATTTTTAAAAAAAATACCACTCCCAGTTTCAACTGATTCAGAAAATGGAATTGAAATCTGCCGATGAGTACTGTAAAACCTTTTCCGAATTCAGTCATACAATATAGATAGCTCTAAATTCTAAGCCAGTGTTTTTTGACCTCCACCTGGATTGCACGACAATTCCCGCATCCCTCAGCCAGTCTGAGGCTGATGGGAGTCGTAATCCCACAGGTCCAGGGAGCACAAGGTTGGGGAAGGGTGTCTGAAAGAGAACAAACCAAAGGGGGAAGGGGACCTGTGCCGTATCTGACCAGTGTGGAAATATATATATATATTTAAAAAAAAAACAATTCTGAAGAGGCACAGATAAGGGGAGAGCTGCCGAAGTACCATCAGCTTAGCAAACACTAAATAATGAACTAGGCAGCCACTGCCTAGGGTGTGATAAAATACTCCATTAGCTGGGCGGGTTTTAAATGAGTGATAATTGTGGCAGAGACACATAAAAAAGGTTATTGAATTTTTATCTGGAGAAAAAGATGGCTTTTTCCTTTCTTTTCCTTTTTTGACAAGCCCATGGTAAAGTCACCTTTGTACACCCGGTTTGTATTTTATTAAGAAGCACTTAAAAAAAGAAAAAAGAGAGAAGAAGTCTTAACTGTCAAGTCTTAAACGACCAAGTAAAAAGAGGTCCAACCTATTCCTCCCCTTCTGTACCAGAGCTCAGCATCTTTTTTTCTTCTTCTTGGACATTTTGGATAACTTCCGACACAAGTTCTCTGCGTTGCCTATTTGGCTCTATAAATTGGCTGAAATGCATAAGCAAACACCTTCTGGGATATTTCTAAGATGGGAACGGCTGAATAAATTGAACCTTGTACAGGGATAGCCGGCTTGCCTACTTAAAAAAAAAAAATCACACAGAAAATCCAGAAGAGAAGCGAAAGATTGTCTTTCCACTGAGTTCCTCTACGCCGAGTCCTGACAGATCCGAAAGCAGCTCCTCTCCTCTTTTTCAGGCCATGAGGGGGTGCTAGATTCCTTCCCCACACTCCATTGTCATTCCACAAAAACTCCTCTTCTCTGCCCACTCCCTTCTGCCACCTGCACATCACCTCCCATGCCAAGCCTTTCCCCCTTCAACTGCCATCTCTTTGCTTCTTCAAAATCCCAGATCATATCCAACTTCTTCCCCAGGGTGGCTTTCTTTCCCTCCTCAGTCTTCATCATCACCAAGCTGGGTTCCACCCTTCTCAAGGGACCTTCAGACAATTCTTCACCATCTTCTCCCCTTCCCTCTCTGTTGCATGGGAAGGCAGTTCATGGGTCAGCGGCTGTACCACGCAGACTTTCTATCCCATGCCTGGCTCTGGACAAATGCTGGATGTGTAAGGACCCGAGAAGGGTCACGCTGGACCAGACTGTGGGTTTGTTTCGTCCAGCCGTCTGGCTTTCCACAGAAACCCACTAGAGGTCTTCCAGAGGTCCAGAAGCAAGGTATCATGCCACACTGGGCAGACTTTTCCTCAGAGGAAGAAGGCCCAGGGCTACTTGCCTCAGCAGGAGGGAGGATAGGGAGAGGAGGAACACTTTTCCCACAGACACAGAGAAAAGACCCACGCCCGAGAGGAAAGACCCGTCCTACATCGGACAGAATGCCAGCCTTTCCCAAGCGCGGGCCCATCAATTCCACTGAGAAAGAGCAAATGTATCCATCAAGGATTACCGAACAGCAGCAAAGTTGGGTAGCTGCAGCTGTGGGAGGAAGTCACCCATGTTGCAGACCGACAAAGGCAGAATACAAACCTGAAACGAACATCCTTATCAACAGCTTCTCTCTTATAGCTTTTCAGCATTTATTTTGTTTTCCTGCCTGACAGGGGTCACAGCCCTGCTTTGGACCGCTGCATTTTGGGATCTCTGAGCTGCTGTGTTAGTAGTTTATGGACGGATGCTGACTTTGGGGACTGGTCCTTGTCGTACTATGCTGACTCTAGAATCTTTGTGATGCCTTACCTGTGTGGTTGTGGCACAGGTTATCCTTGGACTTTTTTCCTGCCTTACTGACCCTTTCAGCCTCGGTCCAAACAAGAAGGCAGAAATGCCACTGGTCCAACCCCTGGTCACCAGAAACCCATGGAGTTCCTTTGAGCCATAATCTCTAACAACCACCGACGGATCTGTTCTCTGTCCATGTAACCAACACCCTTGCAAAGCCACATGAGATGGTGGCCCTCAGGCTACTTCACAGTAGTGAACCCCATCCACTGATCCACTTTGCGTGAAGTACTTGGTCTGGCTTTTTTCTGAATTCCCAACCCACCAACTTCACCAAAAGACTCCGAATTGTAGCAATAACGGTGGTGACAAGGACCAGCCTTCCCCAACCTAGCATCTTCTACATCTCCTATCATTCTTCAGTCTACATGACTATGCAGCCTGGACATGAATGAGGAGAGCTGCAGCCCAGTTGGAGCAGATCGTGTTGGGGGAAGGCTGGCACAGATCCTTTTTTTTTGACCCCATAAGATTTAAATGTTTTTATTTATGGTGCATGCCCTGGCCTTTCTCTGGAGATCACTCACTCTGTGCCACAGGAAGGTCGGAGAAAGCCGCCTTCATCCGTCCGGAGAGCCATTCCAGGCTTTCGTGCATGTTGGCCAAGGCCTTCAGGTCGCTGACATCCCGGAGGATCTCCTGCTGGGGAATCAGCTTGTCCCCCAGGTTCCCGATGAGAACTTCAGACTCCTTGCCAAAGGCGGTCCTGGAAGATATAAAGCAGAACATAAAGATGCCCACAAAGAGCACGTTTGAGGAAAAAGAGCACCTTAAAGGCAGATCTGGTCGAAAGACTTCTCTGGAATCAGAAGAGCTATGGGCTAAGACTACCCTGATCCTGCATCAGCCTTTCAGGTACTGCTGATGCTTGGGGGGGGGGAAGGATCAAGGGTCATTTGGATATACTATATACTGTATTGAAACATTGGGTGGGCTCCAGACAGAGATGAAATGAATAGACACAGATATTTTGGTCCACATGAAAATTTTATTTTATTTTATTTATCTACTGCTTATCTAGCCAATCACTACTTTAGGAGGTGTACAACAAAAAATTAAAAAATAATGAAAAAAGGTTTCTTTCCACCCCATGGGAAAATGGTCAATGCTTATGAGATTTCTTTTCACTCTCACACAAGAGCTTAAAAAACAACCTCACAAACACACATTCAAGGGGAAAAAACCTAGCCCTTTGTATTTTGCACTAAAGTGTGTTTTGTGTGTTATTTTTTTGCACGAACTTTTATTTTGCATCAATAACCTGCAATTTGTACAAAACCAAATAGGAGGTCTGTGAGCACGCCCCAAAAAAACCCCCCGCAAACAAAACAAACATACCAAAAACCAAAACCCCAGCAATTCTGTTTATTCCCTGCCCTCAAACAAAGTTCTAAAAAAATTGAAATATGCACAACATCTGTTGCCCAGGAGGGAGAAAACTTTGATATTTTTTTCCTTCCTACCTGAGAGAAGGATATAAACCGATATTTCCATCTCTGCTCCAGCCTAAATTAATCATATCTCAGTCCCACAGGAACCCACAGGAATTTAGATGTGCATTACAAATGTCTTCCTTTAATTTTAATGGCACTCAAGGATGGCCAACATCCTACGGAACTAATCCATTTTTATTTTATTTCAAGTAATTTTATTCTGCTTTTGGCCTCAAAGTGGTGTTTGGGGGGGAGGAGCTAGAGTGGCTCCCAACCATGATTGAAAATAATAACCAAGCGACACTATTTTGAAAGAGTAAAAGGCACAGCAATTAGAACAATCCATACTTTCTTCTAAAGCACGTAAAGGACTTTCACCAATTTTAGCGCCCTATCAGGCTGGCTCCAGACTGCAGGGAAGGGATGAGAATTCCTTAACATAATTTTCCTAATGGATTCCGGTAAGTTGTACTAATAAGCCTCTCATTCATCACCAGGGATTTCTAAAACAACTTAGTATTATATATTGCTGCTCTGCCATTGCTAATGATATTCATATTGTGATGCACATATTTGTTTAACCAGAATTGCTAAACAAATGGGCATTTTAGCTACTGTACAGATTTAATCTCATTCAATATGTTGATTTGAAGCCATTTCCCCCTCCCACTACATCTTGCTTGTAGAGCAGTTATAATGTGTGCCTGATTTATCCTAATCAGCCAGGTTTTTGTAAATTTCCTTTCTCTGCTCTTGACTAGTTGAAATCCATACTAGCCCTATTTGGTTCATCACAGACCAATTTTATATCAAAAACTGGTAAGTCTATGTGAGAAAGTAGCACTGGACTACGTCAGACCCATGAATGTGACACACTCTGGCCCACAGATGGGTTTTGATTCTGTGTATAGCCTCCTGTCGCTTGCAGGAGAGTTGTAGATAACACCCAAGGGAAGTAAAGGTGGGAAAGGTCCAAAACTGCATATGGGAGACAATGATCAAGGCGGGAAATCTGGAGAAAGTGAAAAAGAACCAATCATAGAGGGAGAAGAGCAAGACATCATAGTGGAAGAGGAGATAAGAGAGGGGATAGACTGGGTTGAGGTGGTAGAGAGGGAACAGGAACAGGAGGAATGGTCCTGGAGGAGGGAGGTCTTTGCCTGTTTGCGGAAGGACAGGAAAGATGGGGCCAGCCTGACCTCCAGTGGGAGGGAGTTCCAAAGTCTAGGAGTAGCCACCGAGAAGGCCCTCTCCTGTGTCCCCACCAAATGCATCTTTGAAGGTGGTTGGACCGAGAGAAAGGGCTCTCCTGATGATCCTAACACCTGGGCAGGCTCATAAAGGGAGAGGTGGTCTTTGAGAAAGCTTGGACTCAAGCCATCTAGTACTTTATAGGTTAGAACCATCACTTTGAATTGTGGTCGAAAATGGAGAGAACCACTATTGAGAGAGGAGGAACTGTGAGTTGTATTAAACTCTGGTAATCCAGAGGAACTCCAGGACTCAGAATTCTTTAATCCTAGGGGCGTATCTTTTGTCCAGGCCCTGTTGCTGAATATGCAGTTTGTGGTACAAGTCTGCCCACCTATGCCATGTACTAGGGAGTACAGACAATGCCATGACAATTATAAATACATAACACAATCCTCTATGTTGATGAAGAATTCTGTGCAGCTCCAAAACTTGCAAA